CGGTATTTGCGCGCTTAGATTTCTATGCTGATCACTTGATGAGGCAACTGAGAATTGCTTCTCTGTCCCATTAGAAATGCTACTATGAAGAGGAGGCATGTGCATAGATTGATAGTCATATGCAAATGCGGGCATGGATGAATCCATAGGGTAAACCGTTAGCGACGACGAACCGGGACCTTTGAAGATCTGAAATATGCAGCAAATCACACAAGATAAGGTATAATCCCAGAGAGCGTTTCACTAAAATATGCAGTAAAAATGATGCTCTGTGCTTCACTTACATCCTTTGGCAAAAGGGTCTCCATGTTCAAATCCATCCTTGGATTCACAGTGGTCAATTTCATTGAAAGAAACTGCATCAAATCCAACACAATTTAGAAGACTATATACATTTATACAGAAATGTGGCAGATCTTTTGAATGTTTGGTGATTACCTCAACTTGGCGCTGCAAAGACTGAACATAGTTTATGATTTCATCAAGCATGACAGCCTTCCCAGTTACCTATGATAAAAAAAATGCAACTCTTAACTTTAGAACAATGTTCAGGCTTAAAAATTTCAAACTCAGGCAGAAGAATTGTAAATTTCAAGCACCTTATTGCAACTAGGGACGAGATCTTGAAGAAACTTCATCCGTTTGCTGATTTTCTCTCGTCGGGCCTGCACGAGCAAGAACACGAAGAACGCAATTGTGAGTACTTGAATCATATTGGAGTGCAGAAGGATTGATATACAGAGAATTTGTGGTTTAGCTCATACTCTTTCAGCCAAACTGTGGCTATCTGTTGCTTGACCCCTTCCAGCTCTGACATGGATATAATCCTTTGGAGGCTCTGGAGGCTTTGAATTGTCATTCTTTTGCTTAGGATTTGCTACTCCTAAAGCTTTTGAGCCATCTTTGGCCTCTGCCTTCCCTTTAGCAGCATCAATCTCCTTCTTAGAAGCTTCATCTGGTTTGATTTTCTTTCCATTTGATTCATGTTTCTCTCCTGCAACCTGAAACAAGAATATGCATTCCCATTTGTTTACACTAAGTTCATCAACAGATGCAGAATTTGACTCAAATTTGTAAATATACCTTCAAATCTTTTGCTAGTGTTGATTTCCTTTTCCTAGTGTTGATTTCTGGTTTACCTTTGAAACCCAATTCCCCACCTGTAATCTGTTCGGAAACCGACGATCCCTCCGGTGAATCGCCGGTGTTTTCAGGGGTCGAAGACTTCGAAAACCTGTTCAGTACCTTCTTGTTAGGGATTCTCATGGAATTCCCCTTCTGGATTGGGCTTTGCTCGCCTTCTTGAACCCCCATTTGGGATCCAATCCCACCAATGTTGAAGGATTTGTTACTTGAAACTCTGGATAGCTTTCCAGATTCCATCCCAGCTCCCAATTCTAGGGTTTCATTGGAACTCAAGTGGCCATTCAAGCCCGCAAGATTCCTATTCCCAAAGCAAGAAAATCTCGCAGCCCTCTCAGTAAACCCAGGATCAGCCGAAAATGGAGCCAGATTTTGATGAAGGGGAATCAAATTCCCTCCGATCGAAGACAAATTGAGCTTGGGAGGAGAATTCAAAGGCGTATTGTAACAAGAAGTGTTCGTACTGTTATTGTTCGTTCCACCAATGTAAGAATGAGGCGAAATCTCACCAGAATTGCAAATACTCCCAAGCCTTCCGATCAATTCTCGCATCATCAAGTTGTCTCCACCGCCACCGCCACCGCCGATAACATTTCCAGCGTGAGAATTCACCGGAGAAGACACAATTGAACTCAAAGTAGACTCAAAGAGATCGCTCTGATCCATCGAATTCTCCCAATTGGGAGTAAACAACCCACTCGAATTCAACTCATTAGGTTGAATTTCCATCCCAGAAAAACCGCATCCATCGCTCATAAAAAACTCGTTCTCCATTTCGATCAAGAACACAAAATTCAAAGAAAAACTCAAAACCCCAGATGAAAAATCGTTCCAAATTCAAAGAATCCACAAAAACAAACAAACAAAAACCCTAGCCACAAACTTTGTCCGCAAGAAAAAGAGAAAAACAAGCAATCGCAGAGGTGAAGAAGCAACAATGATGAAATAATTTCTTTGTTAGTTTGTGGGCTCAAAATGAAGAAGATTAAAAACAACAAAAAAACAGAGAATACAGAGGAGAGAGAGAGAGAGAGAGAGAGAGAGAGAGAGAGAGTTGGAGTGAGAAATGTGGGGAAGTGGAGGAGAAGCAACATAGATAAAGGGAAGGAAATGTCTGTTTGACTTTTTTTTTCTTTTTTAAATTAAATTAAAAAAAAATCTTTTTAAAATAAATAAAAATATTAAATAATAATTTAATGTTACTTAGTTGTGTAGCCATATAAATTTTTTAATTGAAATTCACGTTACAATATCCATACGTATGCGAACCTCGTTGAAATTTTAGCTTTAAATTTTTACTCTCGTAATCTCGTAATCATTATCTTAGCATAATTTAGTAACTACGACACAAATTATCATCTCGAATAGCTCGAAGTTGAAATTTGTACTCTCACCGTCATCGTTCGAGCACAACTTAATGCATAAGACATCAATTATTGTATTAAAAGTCTATGTTATTCTGATCGAGCATACTTTTGTACCCATTAAACTAATAAAATTCTAAATTATTATTTAAAATTTTTGACACGTCTAATTGCATCATGTCAATATCTGTACTATCAATATGTTCTTTTTCGGTGGCTCGATCATAGGACTTTCAAGGTTAAAGTATTCTTTACTTAGGGCATTTATTAGGGGTGTACATTCAACCCGACAACCCGGACTAACCCAACCCAAACTATAAAAGTTGAGTTGGATTGGATTAACATTTCGGGTAGAGTTGAGTTCATTTTCTTGAACCCGAATTGAATCGGTTCAAGTGTCTTGCGGTTGCGACTGTCAAATGTCGGGTAGGATTAGCATTTCAGGTAGGGTTGCTATAGTCACCCAACCATACCCTATGTCTGATGGTTATATTTTTAATTATTTTTAAAAAAATTATAATTATATACCATACATTACGTTAATAATTAAAATATTATAAAACTCAAATATTTTTTAAATCAAACACTCGCGAGCTACAACATCACTGGTTTATAGATGTAAAACATTTTTTAATATTCGTATTAATCTTAAAAATAGGGTAAGGTTGCGTTGGATTGTAACTCTATTTTTGAGTTGGTCGAGTTTATTCAAAGAAAAACAGGTCAGTACTCAAATCAAACTGAACTTTCAGTTTGCTTAAAAGTTCAATCCAACCCGAACCGAAAAGAAAACCTAACCCAAGTTCAATCCAACCCGAACCGAAAAGAAAACCTAACCCAACCTATGATAGTCGGAGAATGAAGTCATATATAATGGACCAAACGCGGACGAATAAACCCTTCATCAAAATATTAAAAAAAGTAAACGCAAATGCATTTGGATGCATTCCATTTGAATGTGCATTTGCAGAGGATATTGCATTTATGTCAAAATCCGACCAACTCCACCTCTTTTATTTATTTATATTATTATTATTATTATTATTATTATTGCAATTTTAAACTTATCTTGAGATCTCAAAGAGTATCTGTCGGCAACCCATAATTAAATTAATCAATAAAAAATAAAAAATAATAATATTTTCATTTATATAGTTATTTTTTTTAAAGAGTTACCTTGAAATTAAAAATGAGATTAAAAATATAGAAATTAAATTAATGGACTAGACTCAAAATTGGCAGGGGTAATATAGTAATTTAACCAAAGATAAATAACAAGTTTTAAATTGAATATAAATTAAACAAATAATAATAATTGTAACGAGAGAGAAGCTTCCCCAATGGATCTTAACGTGCGCTTCAATCATTGAAAAGCGTCCACTTATTACCATTTTGCCCCTGGCAAACCGGTGACCTTCGTTGGTTACGTGTCGGTATTTCATTGGGCGCTGGACACGAATTACAAGATGGTTTAAAAATAATTAACTATTATTTGTCAGGGATTTAATTATTAATTATTATAATCTGACAAACTGCAGAGTTTTATTTGTATTTATTGGAAATAATTTGGAGAATTATAATTATAATTATAATTTAGTTGAAAAAGGAGAATCATTATGGCAGAGTGGCAGGTGGATTATAATCATTTGTTCATCCATTTTGTCTTTTTTTTTTAATATTATTTTATTTCCGTAAAAATAAATAAATAAATAAATAAAAATAAATTGGATAAGACATTTTTCAAAATCACCGTATTATTATTATTTAAAGAATTAGACGACGAGAATAAAAAAAAATAATTGAAAGTTACTGTATATACCAATAATGTAATCAGTAAATTTTTAAATAAACTAACAAAATATGCCAAAAAATATTTTAAAATAGTTAAATAAATAGCGTGATTATGTTCGAGGATGCTGACAAGTGCTAAATATGGATTCCAAATCTGGATTCGAGTCTTACCTCCCTTTTTATAACAGTTGGACTGTATATTTTCATTGTACTGCTAATAATCATTAGATATAAAAGTGAAATATTTTTGTATATTTTATGTCGTGCATTCAATTATACGTTGTTGTTATCTTCGTACATCCAATTAATTAAAAAAAGTTAAGGTCGAAATTAAAATAATTATTAATTTCTTAAATTTTAATTTTTAATAATTTTGTCTTAATCCTGGTTTTAAATAAAGTAATTGAAAATTAATATATATATATATATATATTTTTACTAAGATAAATTAATTCAGGATTAAATATATTTTTATAAATTACAAAAGATTTAATTTTATTTAATTAAAATTGACATTTAATTTTGTTTTACGTAGGAATTAAATGGTTATAAATTTATAAATGGGCCAATTTGTCTTCCAAAGCCCACGTTGGTTGGTTGTCTATAAAAGGCCCAAACAATAGGCCCATTAGTCTTCCAAAGCCCACGTTGGCCGGTTGCCTATATAAAGGCCCAAACAATGGAACCCATATTTTTCTTCCTTTTATTATTTCCAGTTGTAGTCGAAGCTTTTGCCCAACGACTGTGAAGAGTTTCAGAGTTCTTGCTGCTGAGCAGCGCTTCAGCAGAATCACCATTTCAATTAGAAAATCGTCGGATTCAGCCTTTTAGGCTCCGGCGACAATCCTCATCATGGTCGCTTCCTCGGTTCTTATGGTGTGTATAAGCCTCTTACTTCTTTTCTGAACTTCGCCCTATGGATTTTGCCAACTTTTTTCCCGTTTGGGTTGTTTTTAATTGCTTTTTTTCACTGTTTCAGGTGGCTGAGAAGCCTAGCATTGCGCTCTCGATTGCTTCTGCACTCTCGCACGGCCAAGTAAGTTGTAGAGGCACTTTTGATACTTGTAGGATTTTAAGATTTGAGGTGGGTGATTACTGTGGAATTTTGAACTCATTTCTAAGTGACTTGTGCCGTTTTCATTATCCTGAAAGGCTTAATAGTAGATTATACAGGTTTTAGAACACGAAAAACGTTTCTCACTAGGAAGAGTTGATTAGCGTTCATAGGATAGCTTGCAAAAGCCACCCTTAAAATTTGTAATTCGATGTATATTAGCATGCTTGTATCACTTTGCTTATTTCAGGATATGTAATTTGAACATTACCTAATGTATGATTCTAGCATGTAAGGTAGAAAGCCTAGCATAGCATGCTTGTATCACTTTGCTTCTTTTTTCTTTTTTCTTTTTTAAAATTTGGAAAATTTCGGGTTTATATGTTGATATTGGCTTCTTTTAGATTGAGTTGTTTTTTACATTTTTTTTTTGCTGATATTTTTGGGGCATAGAGAATTGTGTGTTTTTTTTGGTTTTTTGGGCTGTTTCACGTCTCCAAGTAGGAGTTTTGTACTTTTTCATTTTATTGATGAAAAGTATTGTTTCCTTGTCGAGGAAAAAACAATATTAAGAAGTAATACTGATTACTGACATATAATCTCAACATATTAATGTTACAGATGTCTACAAGAAAGGGTAGCACAGAGGTACATGAATTCGATGGGAGATTTCTTGGGCATCATGCCCATTACAAAGTGACATCGGTTATCGGACATGTTTTCAGGTGCCTTTTCATTTAATTACATCTAGAGTTGATGTGAATGTGATTATGTTACCTTAAATATTATGTATGTGCAAAGAACGTGAAGACTGAAGAAGCTTTTATTGTTTTTGCAACAATCAATAGGTCCAAATTTTAAAGGTGTCTGTGAGATTCACATGCAATTAATGACAATTAATGACTTTGATGTGATAGTTGCAGTTGCAAGTTTTGCCGTACTTGGCTTAACCTATGGTGAACAAATTTTTGTTTGTTAATTGCATTGCACTTTATGTTTACTGACATTTTCAACTAAGATAATTTTAGCTTTCTAACCTGTCTTTTACATTGTGCATTCTTTTCCTTCATCACTTCGACACATGTTTTAATATCATTCTTGAACTTGGAATCTTGGATGTTTTATAGCTGTCTATTAACATATGATTGGAATCTCTATGCATTAAATGATTGTCTGTCCAAAAAGTTGTCTCTTGTTAAAAAAGAAAAAAGATTCTGTCCTTGAGACCAAGGGACTGGGCATGGTGTTTTTCACTGATAGCATGGGGATTTTATGGAAATCAGTTGATAACAAGCAAGATTTATTTATTTACATAATTAATGATAACAAGCAAGAAATAGAGGCTGAAAGAAAGTAGTTGTAATATATGGTGTCCTTGAGCCCAAGTTTGGGCGATCTTTCAAGCATGTATTTCGTTGAATTTGTATATTTCCTTTTCATGCCTTTCATATCTATCTATCTGTATAATTTTGCATAACACATTCCCTTTTAAGTCTTTATTTACTTCATTAATGATAAAGGTTCAAGTATTATCATTTCTTAAATTATCCAATTGCTGAAGGAAAATTATCTAATTCTCATTCCAAGGCTGTCGTATTAATATGGTTATAGCATAAATTGGAAAATCGGGTTTTGTGCCTATAAATTTTCAAGAATGGTCTTTGCTGAAATGGTTGTTTAGTTTCTGTGATACCGTCTGTCAAAGATTACTTGCATGGTTGTTTTTGGTTATTTCATGATGATGCACTAGTCCTTTACCCTCTGACCCATTTTTTTAGTGCATTTTTCCTTTGTCTTTTCGTGGGTTTAGTATAGATTTCCCTGCTAGATTTCAAGATTGGAAGGCAACTGATCCTTTGGATCTTTTTCAAGCTTCAGTAATTAAGACAGAATCAAACCCAAAGGTATGAGTCGTTCTTACATTTCTTTTATGTAGTTTGTATGATTACTCTCTCACATTGTTGGAAATTGGGATGGTCAACAAATTAACTAGGATAAATAGTTTCTTAGTTAATTATCTAAATAAACTTTTTTTTAACTAAAGCAAACTATTTCTACTGCTTTCATTTATGAAACCTCGTTTTAAACATAGACCCCTTTGATTTTATTTGTCTGATGTAGTTATTGTTGGTTTCCTTTCTACTTTAACGGTCCATAAAATTCATGTGCTTTTCATTTATATGTGCCACTCATTTATCCATCTCTCTTTTGATTTCCTCTGTTTTGTTTTTGTATATTTTCATTTGCTTAATGTCTTCCTTTGTTCTTGGTCTGTGTGAGACATGATGAGGGGCTTGTGAGTTTTTTCATAAATCATAACAATTAAGAAAATGATGGATCAGAGGAAATTCCATTGCCCAATACGCCTCATTAGTGCCTTCTTTTCATCAAGCATTGAAATCTTGACATCACCTTTTTGTTCAATGCAAGAAGGCTGTAGTGTTTTACCGAAGTGCAATGCATAAATTTTTTATAGTGAGGCCTTTCCCATTGTTTACGGTAGAAGATTATGCAAAGGTTTTCCCATGACCCTCTATCTAACAGCATTTAAGGAAGAAATTTGATTAGTGCGGTGAGGATGGCTGAGAATTCAAATGGAAGTTCTTCTCAGATTTCGAAGATAAGTTAAAGGTGAAGCCTAAATGTGCATAATACTTTGTCCTGGTTTGGTTTTGGTTAACGAGGAAAAATATAAGTAGTTGCACTTTGGAAGATGAAAGATAATGACGATACCTATATCAGTATTTTCAGTTTAGACAAGGAGGCATTTGGTTTGATAAATCAAGTTTTGATAGCTGAATGTTTTTTCTTGAAGAATCTTATGAAGGATATATTAGAGCTCTTTTTGAAGTTGGTAGCAATTCTTCATTACCTTCGAAGAATCTTATGAAGGATCTTTTAGAGCTCTTTTTGAAGTTGGTAGCAATTCTTCATTACCTTTGAAGAATCTCATGATGGTTTTTCGACTAGAGTATCTAAAAATGATGATCTAATGAGTTATTTTGAAGAGGAATTATTCCAAATTAATCCTAAGCCTTAAGTTTGTTTTTCCTAGTTTTCACTGGTTGTCGTCATAAGTTTGGAGTGCTTATGCTTGAGCCATCATTTTGGGACGTTTGCTTGGTTGAATTTTTTTAACAAGTTTCCAACTTGGGTTACTAATTGGTGTTTTTCGGCAACAGAGGTTTTTATCTGGTTTTGGCAGCTTCCTTTTATGACAAAAAGTTCTTGTTTTTTGTAGCTGGACGTCTTTTTTGAGATTTGGCCTCTTATAAAGATCTTCTTCTCAGATTTGGCCTTGTAGCTTTGCTATTATGGTTTTGGCTGCTTGGCTCGTTTGTTTTCAAGTTAATCTTCTCAGAAGTGCTAGATCTTTCTATGACTCTTGTAATATTAATTATTAGGAGATATTTTCTTTATTTGTTTAGTTTGTTTTTCTCTTCACTCTTTGTTGGTATCCTCGAATATTTTTCAATCTTTTCATCTATTGATGAAAAGTTTGTTTCTTGTCAAACAAAGAAAAAAAAAAAAGAAAAAAAAAGTTTGTTTGTTTCAAAGAGGGATCCTTGTATTTAAAGCTTCCGCCTCTTTTTGGAGTTCATGGTTTGGGAGTTGCGAGTCCTTGCCATTTCGGTTTTTGTTGGTGTGATACAGTTTTTTCCGTTCGTTTGGGCTGGTTTCAGCTGCTTTGGTTCTCTGTCTTGCCAAGATCTTTGGCGTTTTGTTCTTCAATGCTTATATTTTGATCTATTGTAGTTTTTGTTTTTTATTTGGGCTTCTTGCATCTTTGAACTTCTTTCTTTCATAAATCAGTGAAAAGTTTGTTTTTTTGTTAAAAAAAGAAAATATTTATTTTGGATACGTGCTGTTGAAAGTCATTTTTGGAAAATTTGGGTGGACAGAAATCAAAGACTCATTTAGGACTTGCCCTTTGTTTTTGCCGGACTCCTTTGTTTGTCCTTCTTTTCCTTTCATTCTTTCTCAATGGAAGTTCGGTTTCTTACGAAAACAGGGGGAAAAAAAATCAAAGACTCATTTAGAACTACTCCATGAGGTAGGAGAGGTTTGGAAGACAGTTCACTCCAAAGCCTCCCTATGGATTTCCTTACATATATCCTTTCATAATTAAAGCCAATTGGAGGAATCTTTTGTGGTATCTTAGCTTTGGGTTGATTGTCCGTCACTGTTTTCTTGTACCCCTTTCTCAACTATGGAAGCCTTACTTCTCTGTCTTATAGTACAAGAGGAGAAAAAAGTTGTAGGTTTAAACTCCTACATGTGATGTAATATTAAATAAAAAAAGGAATGTAAAGAAAAAAAGAGGAAAAAAAGAGAAAATGATGGATAATGGATTATTGTATTTGTAATAGAAGAATATCAAAGGACCCAATTACCTAGATAACTCCATCTATTGTAGTATGAGATGCGGAAAATTAAGAATTTATGTGCGTGTGTTTGTGTTAATTATTTCTAGAAATAATCTTTGAGCCTTTACTGGCAAAACAAAACCAACAGATTACAGCTATTTGTTTTTTCATAAGTTGTTTGCAAGATGTTTTTATAGTTATCATTTCATTTATGTTTACTTTGTATTTATTCTAACAGTCCGATGCGATTTTGAATTATTGTACCCTAACTGAAAAAAAAGAGAAGAAATAAAACCTAGAGGTGTGATGATAATGTGCGTTTGTGTTGTGTGGTCGCAGGATATAGACTTGTAGTCACCTTGGGAAAAAATTCCTGCCACATGTTTGCTCTTATGTAGGGTGCTAGTTGCTGGTGGCCGTGGTAATTTCAATGTCACAAGGACAATTTGAAATTTACTCGCGGAAATAGAATTAGTAGAATTAGTGATGATAAAATTTGGCAAATATCCAGGACTTTTATTTTCCATAAGTTCTTTTATCAAATACCAATTCACTATACCAGACTTGCTGACTGAAATATTTTGTAAAAGGTTAATTCTTCTTTTTATGTGGTTTACTGGACAAGAGAGCATTAACACTCTCGTTACTATTGAAGGTTCTCTTCTCCATCTTTTCTGGGTAGTCTTTCTTGTATAAATAGGCACTCAAGATCAAAATTGTACTTTGAGACACTGTTTCATGCACTGTTTTGATTTCTTTAAATGATGTTAAATATCCAGGATACAATGTGTTTGTTTTCCAACTTTTCTTGTTGAGAAAATATTACCATTTTTTCTTGGTTTTAGGCTCACATACGTCAACATTTAAGTCGGGAAGCTCGTGGTTGTGATTGTTTGGTTTTATGGTTGGATTGTGATCGTGAAGGAGAAAATATTTGTTTTGAAGGTACTTTCCCCCACTGAAATCATGGTTCCAATCTTGTCTTTTATTCGTAAAGATGATCTAATCTATAAATTCCTGAAGTTTTTTCCCCTTTGAGGTCATATTTTATCTATTTATCTTTATTTTGTTTTTGCCTTCATCTCATCTGGTTTAAAAATTTTCGTGCCTAGAAAGGCTTAGATTCTGGTTCTGTTTTCCCTTCCTAGGGAAGTGACTTCCATTGATAAAGGAAAGAATAAGTGAGATATGAACCAAATGGAATTGACATTAGCAACCGTGAGATCTCACAGACGTCTAGTACAAATTAGAAATTAGAACCCATTCAAGGTGGGAGTTAGATGAAGACCTTATGGTCAAAGAGATGAAAGAACCTAGGCAAAGGTTTAAAAAACCCACTCAAATTTTATTCATTACAGGTTATGGAACTTCAAAACTTCCTTGGGTTCATATAGACCAAGGATTTCGATATAAAAGAAAATTCCAACTCTTGGATAAAATCTTGAGAAAATGAAATCCCTAAAATAATTGAGGGATAAAAATCTTCTCCTATGCTAATAAAACAGTAAACATAAATAAAATCTCGTAATGAAATATGATTTATAAAATCTAACATAACTTCTAAAAAAAAAAAGGTTAAAGTAGTAATAATAATACTAAAGCAAAAAAATCGTCTCTTCCTAGGAAGATTTTGTTGTCTTTGGTTTATTGGCATTAACTCCTAAAAAACGTCATGGGTAGTTTGATGGTGCACACGAAATGACCTTGCATACAAGTGTCAAACATGTATGGGGTTCATGGATAGTTTGATGGTGCACACGAAATAATCTCTCAAGAGGGTCATTTGCAAACTTCTGGTGTATGCGTGCTCAGTGTGCCTAGTGGGCAGACGACTGCTATCTTGTAGCTTCCTTGGAGGATTTCTCAACCTCTTCCTTGTTGGTTCTTGGTAGATGTTGTCTCGACGACATCATGACCATATCATCTCTTTCTTGAAAAGGATTCGTCCTTGATTGAAGATAACTAGTTGCATCAAAATAAACCTTAATTAATAAATTTGTGGTATATGTCACATCATACTCATCTTGTAGAACCACTTTGAAGCCTTGAGAGTTTAGTACTATTCTAGGTCTTGTTTTGACTTTGTTTTGGACATTTTTCCGTCCCTTCCAACAACAGTGCCTCTATATCCATACAATCTGCTTGGTGTTTGGTATTTGTACTTTTGAACACAACACCGTGTATTTTTGTCCATGGTAGTAGTGCTTGGATTTGTGCTTCTCGACAAATCTTTTTGCTTTAAACACTATTTGTTTGTAGTCACCTACACAAAAGAATAGCATAACGAGGAACAACAAGAAGGATATCATACTATACTCTTCATGAAGTGCAATCATGTATTTATTTGATAACAAGAAAAATTGGTGGAATTTTTTATTCAGTTTCGTTTTGATTCATTGTCATAAGATATGCTAATTCTGTTAAATGATATTATCTGTTTCTTATCAGGAAAGTATTAACATTGGTTCTGTTTGCAGTTATTGAATGCACTGGATTTGGTGGCAATGAATATAGGAAAAAAGTGTATCGGGCAAGGTTTTCTTCCGTTACTGAAAAAGATATTCTGAAGGCTTTGGATAACCTTGTTGAACCTAATAGAAATGAGGCACTGGCTGTAGATGCTCGACAAGAGATAGATTTGAAAGTTGGAGTATCTTTTACACGATTTCAGACTACATTTTTTCAGGGAAAATATGGGAACCTTGATTCCAGACTCATCTCGTCAGTTCTCTTCTTGCTCACCTCCTCAAGGCATTTATATTACACACACACACACACACACACACATATCTAATGTCTGTCATATTGTATTCGCATATAGCTTCCACTTCATTGAGGGAAACATATTTTCCGCAATTAAATTTTCACATCTTCCAGATATTGCTTTAATGTTTCTTTGGAATTTTTATTAAGTTTTGTCCTACATAATAAACATATTCAAACATAAGAAGCTAGAAATAGATGGTGATTCTCTAATTTTTTTCCTTCAATGTAAGTTTTCTTATTTGTCTAATCAATCAAGATACTGGAATTTTGAATCAAACGAATTCTTCAGAAATATTTTAGGATGGTAGATTATCATGTTATCTTTATAGCTATCTCATACTGAAAATTTTACGCATTTTACAACACTTATGCTCTTTGTTCCTTTATGCCAATTGTGACAGTTCTTTATGTGACATTTTAAATTTCATCTCTTTTAAAAATGTATTCTTTCTTATCAAAGAAGAAAAAGAATGCACAGTTTCCAGATTTAATTAATAAGTATTTTCTTATTTCATTTTATTTATTTTTTAAATTATACACATATACGCCAAAGCAAATAAAGGTGGTGAAGTATTGGTGTCTGTTATTGATATGTGTATGATTTTGCATTTTGAACATGTTTCTCTTTTACAGTATGGTCTGTGTTTCCTATAAAAGAGCGTCTAATTTATTTAATCTCTTCTTGTGGCGTGCTGGGCAATTTTCTTTTCCTTGTTGAGATACATTTTTTTATTATTCTTATTAATATTACAGTTTTAGATGTCAAGTCATACTAGTTGGCTCCACTTTCTTGTTCAAATTATTTAATAAAGGTCTCAGTAGTTTCCTGTCATTCTTCCTTGATTTTCTTCAACTATAATATGCCAAAGAATCTCAACTTCTGAAGCCATTACTTGATTCACTAATGTTATCATCTTGACTATTGACCTCTACCTTTTATCGCTGTAATTATGTTGTGGAGGGTAAAAGTAATGTGATTATACTTATCATTCTTGACGTTTAGGGCTTAGTTGAAAGGAAATATTATTGGTATTTAACTTCTTGTACTATCTGTACTGGTTAATCATTGGTTATTCACTTGTTTCAGCTATGGGCCATGCCAAACTCCCACGCTTGGGTTTTGTGTACAGCGTCATTTGCAAATAACTACTTTTAAGCCAGAAAAATTTTGGTCTGTGTGCCCTTATATCATGCAAAATGGCTATGAACTTAATCTAGACTGGGAGCGTGGCAGGCTATTTGACTGTGATGTGAGATCAGCCTCAATAAACATTCTTATTCTATTCTTTGCAATGCTTACTGTCTTATACCTTTTACCATGTTTCAGGTTGCTACAATGTTTCAAAAGCGAGTAATGGAAGATGGAATTGCAGAAGTAACACAAATATCAGAGAAGCAAGAAAGCAAAGTTCGACCTTCTGGACTAAATACAGTTAACCTTCTGAAGGTAAATAAATGAGTACGGGAGTTGTCTCCTTATAAAAGTTAGTAAAGTTCGGAAGGACTAGGCCATGGGGTGGAGTGTGGTTTCCTAGATGAGCTACCCTTTTGACCACAACTCCTCCTCCCACCCTTTAAAGTTCTGAAAGAAGGTTGGATCAAATAAGGCATATGAGGATTTGAGTCATATCTTTTGGAGCTATTGGTTAGCTTATTCAGTTGGGAATTGCTTTCTTGGGGTTTTTTGGATCTTGTTTGGCCCGTGAATAGACTTTTGTCTTATGATGAAGGAGGTTTTGATCATCCTCCCTTGTGGGAAATGGTTGTGCTCCTCAGATGGTTGTTATTTGGTTTCATGATGGATCGTGGTTACAGGATTAACAGAATTTTAGGGGTGTGGAGAGTCCTTGGAAGGAGTTTTGATTCCTTGCTAGATCGATTGCCTCGCTTTAGGGATTTTTTTCTTTATTTCTTTTTTTTATTATTATTATTTTTTTGGATTGAAGTTCTTTCTTGTTCTGTTAGGCTAGTTTCTATTTGGCCTCTTTTTAGGCTTACATTTTCTTAGGCACATCTTCTGTTGGTCCATTTTTCTGCTGGTCCTCTGTTGTAATAAGGGAGGAGAATTTCAGTCCACTAATAGATGGGTAGGCTGCAAAAAGAATAAACCATTAATCTAAAAAGTCCTACATCTTCTACTTTTCTTGAGAGGAAAGCAAAAACTAAGATGAAAATCCTCATCATTGACGTGGGTTATGGGCTTCAGCTTGGTTCCTACTAAATAAATAGTTTATAACCTTGGTCCCCGCAGTGTGTGATGGCTTGGGAAAGAAATTGTTTCGTGTGTTTAGTATTTTTCACTCTATGTAAGGTCTATACAAGTAATCAATGACTGCCTGATAGTTAATGTTTTTTAAGTACTGGATGTGTTCATCGTTTTCGATTCTGCAGAGGTCATGAAAGGTGTTGATCTTATCCTGATTTGAAGGAATACGGGTGCTTCTTACAAAAACTTTCAACCCATTATGCTCGTAGTCCTTTGTGTAAAATTCCTAACCATGAGTGCTATTGGTTAAGCTAAAGCTTGCCTCCATCCTCCCTAAATTCCATAATAATATACAATAAATTGTATTATAGAACATTGTCCGATTTAACCTCCATGAATTAGAAGACTTTTTTTTTTACAAAAAAAAGAAGTGTTGTACCTGTTTTGTTGTTGGACTAACAAAATATTAAGAGTTGAATTTGCTTTGGAAAGACAATGACTGCATCTAGAGGCATTCTTCTCTGTTGTTTTGATCATTGTGTCTTCTTTATAAGAATGCTTCTAAGGATCTGGATCATGTTTTATAGGATACCAAATTGAATATTCAATTTGGGATAGTTTTCTAGACTTCCCCCGTATGTCTAGCTTGCAATAAGGAGTTACTTGATGCTGGAGGAGGCCCTTCACTCACCGTTTTGGAACAAAGGAGTGGTCCTTCGGTGATCTAGCCCTTTTATTGTTCTGTGGAATATTGGGTCCAAGAGGAAGGTAAGAATTTTTAGAGATATTAAGAGCCTTTGGAGAGATGAAAATTCTAACTGGCTTTCATCTTTTATTTTTAACAATTGTAGCCCTTGGCCCTTAGGCGGTTCTTTTGTGGCCTCTCTTGTCCTTTTTATATTTCAATTCTCGTTTCCTATCAGAAAAAAAAAAAAAAAAAAA